CGTAGTTGCACACGAATGGACGTCGACTCTCTTCAATTCTTGATCATTGGCCTGTAAAGTGGGCACCTTCTGTGATTGGGCTGGCCAATAATGCTCTTCCATTCTTAGAAACTCAGGTCCATTGTGGAACTCTTTCAACTGTTTGAGATCACCAAGCTTGAATCCTCTGGAAACGCAATCCGCTGGGTTCGACTCGGACCTCACGTGGTGCCATTGATAAGGATATGAAGCTTCACGGATAATTGCCACTCTGTTAGCAACAAAGGTTTTGAAGGATCTGTCAGTGTTCAATATGTACTGTATAACTATCATGGAATCTGTCCAGAAATAGACATCCGCGCCTTGTAAGCTGAGTTCCCTTTGAACTGTCGTACTTAGATTCACAGCGACTGTGGCAGCTGTAAGTTCCAGTCTTGGTATAGTCATCCTTTTGAGCGGTGCAACACGTGATTTAGCAAGAACAATACCACAATGGATTCTTCCTTGTACATCAACTAGGCGTATGTAGGACACAGCGCCGTAACCAGATTCTGAAGCGTCTGAGAAGGTATGAATCTGAACAGATTTTACATCACCAAATTCTTCTKGCGTCAGGCAACGAGGTACAGACATTTTTCCTAGCTTGGAGAGACTTTGTAACCAGCTTTGCCATTCACTGAGGTTTTCATTTGGTATCACATCGTCCCAACCGATTTTTTTCTTGCATAACTCTTGCGGCATCCGTTTGGCAGGTAAGACGAAGGGTGCGGCAAATCCCAGAGGATCGTAAATGGATGATACCATTGACAATATGCTTCTTCGAGTGTTCGAGGTTGGCTTTTCGTCAACACGGAAGCTGATGGTGTCCTTTCCCACGTCCCATTCCATGCCCAGAGCTCGGTTGACAGGGAGGTCGTCCAGATTTAAGTCTTTGAAGGATTTGGCACGATCTTCTTCAGGAATTGAAGCCATTACGTGACGATCGTTGCTGATCCATTTCGTTAGACGAAAACCACCATTAGATAACATCTTGGAGAGTTCTCTTATCAGCTTGATAGCATCATCAGCACTGGGAACGGCTTTAAGACAGTCATCCACGTAGAAGTTTTGATTAACTGTATCCACTGCTTGCATGCTGAAGGTGTGTTTGTTGTCTTGCGCCGCCCTTTTAAGTGCGAAGCTTGAGCAACTTGGGGAGGACTTGGCTCCAAACAGATGAACCAGCATTTGATGTTCGCTAGGACTTTGTGATAAGTCGCCATCAGRCCACCAAAGAAATCGTAGTACATCACGATCTTGAGGAAGAACACGCACTTGGTGAAACATTTTCTCTATGTCCGCCATGATGGCAACGCGATGCTCGCGAAAACGTAAAAGGACTCCGACTAACTTGTTCGTCAGATCAGGACCTTTCAAGAGTTGRTCATTCAGAGAAACATMACARAACTTCGCTGCACAGTCAAACACTATCCTGACTTTGTCTGGCTTCTGAGGGTGGACAACGGGATGGTGCGGCAGGTACCATACACGATTACTCTTTCCATCTAGCTCTTCAAGTGGGATTTTACGCGCATGGTTTTTCCTGATGTATTCGTCCATCGTTTCTTTGTACTTGCTGTGAAGAACTGGATCTCTTTGAAGACGGCGCTTGAGGAGATCAAGACGTTTCTCTGCTAACGACCTGTTATTTGGAAGAACTGGAGCTCCAGGACGGCAAGGAAGACCCAGCTGATAGTGACCATCGACCAAGATTGATGTGTTTTTCATTAAGTTAAGAGCATACCGGTCTTCTAGTGACATAACATCGGATTCGGCCTGAACACCGTCCTTGAAGTCTGCGTTGTACATACGCTCAAGTAGATTTGTTATTTCCTCTTGCTCGGCTTTGATCAGATTGACGTGTACGCTGTTACAATAGGAGCGATCAGTTGGACCCACCAGTGTCCATCCTAGCAAGGTACGTACTGCATAAGGCTGTTTCCTTTGTCCAAGACGCTGTTCCAGATTCCAATGAGCTTCTGGGACATCACTTCCTATAAGTATGGTGACCTTCTTTTCTTCTAGCTTGGGAAACTGCAAGCCTTGAAGATGTGTCCAGTTTTCAACATCGTCACTGCGTGCTATACTTTGTTCTGCTACAGGAATGCGACTCACAGATAAGACATGGTCTAGAAAGATACACTCTTCATTATCCAAACTCTTGACTTGTAATTTCACTTCTTTTCCTTGTCCTTTATAACTGCCACTTACAGTGGACAAAGTGACGTTAGTGGGCGCACCATTCAAGGAAAGTTGATCCACGAGTTCATTCAAACATAGTGTTGCGTTCGAACCACCATCAAGAAAGGCATATGTTTCAACTTCAGTACCTCCATCGATCCCACTGACTTTCACAGGGACGATCTTCATGCAAACACGTGGCTGTTTAACACTCGAGGTCGCTCCACAAGAACTTAACTGACTCGAGGTTTGATTAGGCTCGACACTGGTAGACTTGGCAGCATCCGAAGCACTGCTTTCTTGCGACATCGTAGGGTGCAAGAGGGAGTGATGGCGTTTCTTGCATCCGCTTACACAGCATGCTGGGATACCTTTACAATTCCAAGCGATGTGGTTTTTTCGAAGACAATTATCACAAAGTTTTTCTTTCCTGACAAAGTTCTTTCTTTCGGTGTAGTCCTTGTCTTTGAACTTCAAACACCTGTCGATTGAATGATTTCCATGGCAATACAGACAGCTTCTAACCTCAGGCTTGGTAGATCGAGC